TCGCTAAAACTAAATAACAACATTCATCAGGAAATGCGGGGTTGTATTTACCGAATGCATAGACCAGTTGTATTCGCAATAACTAATTTAAGAATAGCAGAAGTACAAATAGGATCCGAAAATATCCGTAAGTGTATATTCTTTCGTTATTTCATCATTTATTATCGTCAGTATATGAAGACTTGACTTCCACCGACAGGCAGGCACAGGAACCGCGCAGATCGTATTACTAAAACTAAAGAATAATCAGGATATTTGAAGGAAATTACCGAAGCTCTGATTCTGATTCGTCGTATCTATCGATTGATGGTATTCAAAGATTTTTATCAGCAAAATTTGCATCATTTAGGAGTTGCTAATTGCTGACTGGAACCGATCAACTGTAACATATCGCTAAAGCTAAAAAATAAAGTAATCTGTACGAAGTTTGTAGGAATTATCAAGTGCACAGAAAAGCGAAGAGGTTGTCATAGAATATTGAATCAAACAATTTCCTGTAAAATTTTTGTGGATTACGTTTTTCACAATATAATAAATAAAATATTGGGTTGTGTTTGTTATGGGTTGGCCAACAAAATTACATACGGTTTTAGTATTTCATCAGTAGTTATACTTTCTCATTTAGTTGAATCTATTTCTTCAAATAAGCTTTCAATAGATGGTGCACAATAATGGTGAATATGTCCCATATATGGCTAAAACTAAAGAATATAATCGACACGAAATAAACATGATTTACCGAAACATGTCAAATGAAGGAATCCGCATTAAAAGCAGGAATCTCAATGGAAAATGTTTGCAAAATGGACCTCAGCTCAGATGGATTTTCTTCATTTGAGTGGTGTATCCCATTTTTGTTACTTATAGATGGTGTTGTCTTTTTACGATGTTTGCATCTGATATGCACAGGTACAGTTCAACTGCGTCATATCGCTACAACTAAAGAATGTACTGCAAAAATTTTTAAAGGAAGTTACCACGGCGTTCGTTTATTGATTAATGAACATTAAAAGTTCCACATTCCTTTTTCCAAATATACTGGATTTTGGTTTTTATAACAATGCGTTGGGCCTGTAAAACTATTTATATGTATTTTTTTCTCAAATATATATATAATATTATATTTGCAAGTTGGTAGTTTGTTACGAAAATTTAAAAAAACTCATCAGTTAATGTCATCACTGTATGTCAACTTCTACATCTGAAGGTCTTATTGATATGTACAGGAACCGATCGACTGTACCACATCGCTAAAACTAAAGAAGAATTTTCTTCACGAAATTGAAAAGAATTTACCAAAACTGAAGACGAAAGATTTTAACTTCCGATGAAAACTGTAGTTTGTAGTTATTTTAAACTTCACTTGGCATAAACAATTCAATGGTTCGAGATAGTTGCAAGATTTAATCCACACTATCAATTGCGAATTACAGATGCTTTTAACATTCATATTGATGCGATGGTGTAGTTCAATATATTTCTAAAACTAAAGAGGAATAGCGTTCACGAAATTTAAAGAAATTTACCAAGATGTAATTCCTATAAAGTTTATGAGGTTAGAAGGTACGGCCATGGATCCAAAACGATATGAAACAGCAATATTCAAAAAGGATCATAATACTAATTTTCTCCTTACTAATCAGATTGATGATAATAAAGCTGACCGCTAAATGATAGTTGAATTTGCAACTTGTGAAAATCAGCACTTTCTTCCTTAATTGTCTGCAAAATATTAAAATTAACTTGTCCTAATTTATATAAAAAGATTCCTGAATGATATGATTCAGCTTTGACGATTGGATTGATATAGTTGAAGATCAGTCGCTTCTAATAATGAATATATACAAAAATATATATTATGACAATAAAAATAATGCTGCGGGATGCGGAATTAGTGGTCTGCTGAATAGTTTCTTGTTTGTTTGCTTATTGATAAATGTATCAATTAAGTTGTAAAATTCTAGAATGAAAGGAATTTCCACAGCAATATACAAAAATTTACCAGATGACTCAGTTCTTGATGCTTAAAAACAGTTCTTCGGAAATGCGTTTTTGCTCATTTTTATGAAGTTAGTTATTTTTTTGAAGGTTAATATTATCATTTAAGATCTACAAAGAGAATATTAATCGCAAGCATAACTGCACCTCTTACGCATTTTTAATGAATCATGATTTCCGGGGAATAAACTAAAGGTGTCTTGAACATTTAAGTTGATTTGTACTTTTTTTTATCCACAGAATTGACTTTTCGTTTCATTGCTAGAACTAGACAAACGATTTCAAGCATGTATTCATTTGTAATTACCTTCTATTATTTCTGTTTTCGCATAAATTCAGATAGAAAAAGGAACTTTGTTTTAAAGAACTATACAGGATCGAACCATACGGCTTTACTCGAAAAAACTGAGTAGTAAAATTAACGAAATTTCGTCAAATGTAGAACTTCTCCTTCACAGAATTTGTACTTCCTATGAAGCTTAGAATATTTGATTGACATTTTGAAGATAATTTAGTAGTTTAGATGACTTTAATAGTTTATATAAAATATGTGATCCAGTTGTATGTGACAGGAACAATATATGCGTTGAAATCCAACAGCTTCTTAATTTTTTTATGTTAAGCAATGCATTATCGTTGATATATTAGTTGATTATATTAGTTTGTAAAAAAAAATAAATTATAATACGCACAGGGACATTCGACTGTGTTCGTATCTCTGAAATATTAAATCAATATATTTTGCCAATATTATAAGTACCGTGTAAAACAGCTCTTTAGATTGGCAATGTGTTGTTTTTGTTTGGCTTAGTGATGTGAACGATGACAAACAAATATACTTGTGTAAAAGTTTAACTGAGGTCGACAGACATTACTGAATATTTACTGCATCTGCATCAATGTATGATGACAATGAGTTGCTTCAGAGCCTTGCACGACCATATAATTGTGCTTCATTTGTGCTTAACACCAACTTACTCAGAAGTTCAAACGTATTGTTGACCTCGTATTATCTACCACAGCGTATACATACTTGTGGGATCTATTTCGCTAATTTAAGAAATTGCTTCAGTTTTCTTCCGTCTTGCTCCAAAACGGTGCTGTAAAACAAACCACGTTTTATGTCAGAATATATATATAATAAAAATTCGAAATTAAAGACGTAATTTTTTCAAATTAAAAAAATTTTTTTTATTATATATACATAATATATCTAAATTATTCTTACATTTCAAATAGTTTATAATAAATACGATCCAATATGAATCAGGAAATTATTACCTTTTTTTTTCTAAATATATATAACATATGTGTCAATATCTTTTTATATACTTCAAGTAAATTTAAATTTCAATTGATTTGACAAATACGATTCAATATGAATCAGGAAATAACTTTTCTGTACAAAGTGTAGAATGTACGCGAAGTAAATTTTTCAAATTAGTCATGCAAGGTCAACAGTATAACAGTTATGCAAATGTGTTATACACATATATTATTACTGCGCAATTCGTTTTTACCACATACATGCACAAAATACAAAATGGCTGCCTCGCTTGCATGACTAATTGCAAACGTTGTGAAATGTTAAAAATATCAATTTTTCTACATTTATTTAGCAAATATTAATAATATTTACGAACCAATGAGCAAGTTTCAGCTATATCATCACATGGCAGTCGTGACCAGTAGCCCATGCCCAATATTGTGTTCATCGGACTCAATTGGAAGGCTGCAAAATAGTTGTAGCCAGGCACATCTTTTTAAGAGCATATTTTCGACTGCAAATGAGAAACTAGCATAATAACTAATACACATTACAGTTTATGTCATATATAATATTGTTTTGAACGCTAATATTTTAGATTGTTTTAATTGTTGTTGCTACTCATTTTTTTCATAAATTCATCAAGACCACTTAGTTCACATTTCCACATATTTTCGATGTCTTCACGTTCCTTGCTGTTTTTCGCCATTGTTTTTACGTAATCATCATCGACTTTGTTCACAGTTTTCATTTGGTTTTTTGTTTGAAACTCCAACCAACGATTAAATCTTTCTTGTTGCTTAAGACGCAATTCATTTTCAGCACTCAGTAAAGCAGTAGATAAAATAGCACATACACGTAGATTACCACCAGCACGAAACTTTCGTTTCATTTGTATTTTCTTCACTCGTATATTTTTAACCCAGTCACATAATGTTGGCGGATACTGCGCACAAGTTGCATTGTATGTGTACATTTTTATTATACAAAAAAATCTCTCCCAACCAATATATCTACTACAGAAACTCTTCACATATAAACTGGTATAAAAAACACACCTTGGTTCTCTTCTGCTCTCACTGCAACCAAATTATCTCACTTTTAACACTTTTCACAAAACTCCGGATCGAAACGAACTGCACGACTGCTACCAAAAGACTGTGAAATTCTGTACTAATTCCTGCCCTTATATACAGTTTTGCTAAAAAAATGTGTATGTGTTCGTACACGAACTGCTAGAAAATAGAGGAAATTGTTTTCTTTGTTCATTTACAGCTGCCTTAAAATATCAGGTAAAATGTAATTAAAATACAATACAAAGAAGTTTTTTGTAAATTTTTTAACTAGAATAACAAGATTACTTAATTCTGTAAATTTATGAGATGAAATTTTAAACAATAAAAATATTTTTGTTGTTAAACACATACTTATTTACTTATGCATATGTATATGATTTTAAGAAAAACTGCAATAACGCAGAGTTGAAATTAAACGTATACTAATTGAGTTGCTATACTGTTTCTAGCAACATATAGCAGCAAAAAGATGATTATATATTTATTTATATATTTGATTAAAGGAAATATTCCTTTAATAAATTTTTAATGTGTTTTATACAAATGAGTTTAAAATGTATGTACCTATATAATATACAATATAAGATTGTATTCTATGAATAATATTTTAAATAGTTTTTTGGTTTTTTTAATTTCTTTTAAATAATATATTAAATTGATTATAAATATTCAATTTTTTTATAAATGACAATTTAAAATTGCAATATATAGATTTTTAAATATAAAATGAAAAGAAAGTAATTTATTAAGGCGTATCTACTCAATTTAATTTAATTTATCAATGTAAAAACGTACGTGTATTTTAGTATATTATAATTTTTAACATAAAATCATGATTTATAAATTTCACACATAATATTTATAATTCAGACAAATATATTCTTAAAATACAATTTTCATTTTTAAACAAATAATTCTAATAAATAAATGCATCGACAATCCCCTTAGAAAATCAATGTATGTAACCATACGTATAAATTTGGTTAAACCATTCCTACCATGCTATTATAATGGATAAATTATATACTTATACTTATTATATACTTCATAACATTAATTGTATTTTATATTTAAATATAATGTGTTATTTGGGTAGATAATACTATGTAAATACATATATTAAATAAAATTAAATAATTACTTTTAATATTGATTTCACTCATATGTTTAGATTTATATCATCTAATGCTGCATTTAGCGAATTAGATCGCATATATTAATAAAGTTGATATATCTCAATTATTACATTATACACTTACACTAAAAATAAAATTCTTTATATCAACAATAGTCATTATAGTTAAATCATGCTATTGTAGACATAATTTATTTACTTAGTTTAATAAAATTAATTGTGTTTTAATATAGAAAAGCATATATACAGTTAAGGTTAATAGAATTATTAATAGAAATAAATTATAATGAAATTGTTTGTTTATTTCATTATTTTTATTCATCTATTAAATTTATATAATTTAATACTACATTTAGCGAAATAAATCTTGTACAAAATTGTTAAGAATTCAAATATATCAATATTAAGCATTTTGTTTTTTATTTTGCAATATATAAAAAATAATCATTTTGATTATTCTTTAATAAATAATATACTAAAAAATATATTAATATTAATTAAATAAAAAATAAAATAAAAATATTTTTGCTAAAAGTTATAGTATATGATTATTAAATTCTTTCATACATTGAATAGGCAACTATAAAGCAATCATAAAGAAATGTTATTCACTGTGATTTAAAACGATTTATCAGTTTCTCAATATATCAATTATATTTTAAACTGATATCAATTTTTGCATATCTTTCGCGCCTTTTGATTTAAACAGCTGGACTGTCTACCTGAAATATAGGTATTTGTTTTGAAGAAAATATAAGCGTGAGAAATTAAAAAGCAATACAGGCAAAAAATGTTATCCGTAATATTGTATACAAAGAGCACTTCGAGGGTTGAAAAAGATGTTTTGTCTGCTTTGTTGTGTTATAACCCTATTTTTTGTCTACGACCTTTATTTCTTTAAGATTTCTTAGAACTTATTTACATATTACATATTTTGCAGTTCATTTTCAATCAAAGTAAATATAGTTTTTATATTAAAATTTTTATTTTTAATTTGATTATATTTAATATTAATGAATTTGATGTTTGTAAATTTGCACTCAAAGAACAAGTGTGTTGAGGTTAAATAAATGAAATTACATTATATATATACAAATAATTTATTATTATATATCTTTTTCTTCTGTAAGAAATTCTATACTTTCAATCTACATATAAACAATAACGCAAAAATAGTTTTTCATAAGAACCATGTAGCTTTTAGGTATATTTTGACGAAAAAAGGTTATCATTATACTAACTTTAATTTTTATATCGTTATAATTTATTTGTAACTAATTGATAACATACCTGTTATATCCAAAAAGAGGAACTGATAGCATGGATAGAAAATAAATCAAAACAAAAAATTAGCTAGAGAACCCGCGAAAAATAAGCAAATAACAAGACAAGGTTTCAAAGAAAGAAACCAGGGTCTGACACTTTTTAATAGCAGATATTTTAAAAGCAACTGAAATTCGTTTAAAAAAAATTTAACTAATATTGTTAAGAAGCTAATTTATATTTTTAGTTAACTACAGTGATATATTGATCAAAAATAATCAAATTTTCCGGGCAAGTGTTGCTTTAATCTTACAGACATCCCAAAGAAAGTCGGGTTAAATAACTTAACAGCTTACTAGTAATTATTGTATTTCTTTAGTAATACGGCAGATTTTCGATTTAATTTGTTATATTGATATACACATCTTATAAATATAAAACTTTTAAACATTTAACGGCACTTGAAAATGTATCGTTTGTCTTTGTTAAACATCACTACGAGGGCTGTTTAACAAGTCAGCGTTTAATAATAAAAGTTAAATTTTTGTTTACTATTAATTTTATTTTTCAATATAGAATATTTTAGTCTACAAATTATTTATTAATTTGGAAAGATTTCGTTGGTATTCCATTAAATTTTTTTCCCAGTAAGCAAATTTTGTCAAATTTAGAAATAAATAATGAGGTAAATCTTTGTGACTACGATGAATATAGTAGTACCTTATAATGCAATTCGATCAGATTTGCTATTTGAATTGGTGATAAATGAGCTGTGGCATTGGAGAAATAAAATTTTTGGCTTCTTTCTACTTTCTTAATTTTATCTGTGATGGGTCACATAATATTGTTTTGTCATATCTTTTTACAAGTTAGCCAATCATAGTAATGACAAAAAATAAAAGCTATAATCTTTATCGCTGTTTTTTTGTAACCGTGTTTATCGACAGATGTCCACTGTTTTGACTACCTTTTTGTTTTTGTACCTTAATGGTGTATTCCTGTTAT